TGCTGGGGGTTGGTGTGTGTGTGTGTGTGTGTGTGTGTGTGTGTGTGTGTATGTGTGAGTGTGTGTGTATGCATATGTGTGAGTGTGTGTGTATGTGTGAGTGTGTATGTGCGCGTATGTGTGTGTATGAGTATGTGTGTATGAGTATGTGTGTGTGTATGTGTGAGTGTGTGTGAGTGTGTGTGTATGTGTGTGTATGAGTATGTGTGTATGAGTATGTGTGTGTGTATGTGTGAGTGTGTGTGAGTGTGTGTATGAGTATGTGTGTGTATGAGTATGTGTGTGTGTGTATGTGTGTGTGTGTATGAGTATGTGTGTGTGTATGTGTGAGTGTGTGTGTGAGTGTGTGTGTATGAGTGTGTGTATGTGTGAGTGTGTGTGTGTGAGTGTGTGTGTATGAGTATGTGTGTGTGTATGTGTGTGTGTGAGTGTGTGTGTATGAGTATGTGTGTGTGTGTGTGTGTATGAGTATGTGTGTGTGTATGTGTGTGTGTGTGTGAGTGTGTGTGTGTATGAGTATGTGTGTGTGTGTATGTGTGTGTATGAGTATGTGTGTGTGTATGTGTGAGTGTGTGTGTGAGTGTGTGTGTATGAGTATGTGTGTGTGTATGTGTGTGTATGAGTATGTGTGTGTGTATGTGTGTGTGTGTGTGAGTGTGTGTGTATGAGTGTGTGTGTATGTGTGAGTGTGTGTGTGAGTGTGTGTGTATGAGTATGTGTGTGTGTATGTGTGAGTGTGTGTGTGAGTGTGTGTGTATGAGTATGTGTGTGTGTATGTGTGAGTGTGTGTGTGTATGAGTATGTGTGTGTGTGTGTATGTGTGTGTATGAGTATGTGTGTGTATGTGTGAGTGTGTGTGTGTATGAGTATGTGTGTGTGTGTATGTGTGTATGAGTATGTGTGTGTGTGTATGTGTGTATGATTATGGTGTGTGTATGTGTGAGTGTGTGTGAGTGTGTGTGTGTATGTGTGTGTGTATGAGTATGTGTGTGTGTATGTGTGAGTGTGTGTGTGTGTATGAGTATGTGTGTGTGTATGTGTGTGTATGTGTGTGTATGTGTGTGTATGAGTATGTGTGTGTGTATGTGTGAGTGTGTATGTGTGAGTGTGTGTGTGTGAGTGTGTGTGTATGAGTATGTGTGTGTGTATGTGTGTGAGTGTGTGTGTATGAGTATGTGTGTGTATGTGTGTGTATGTGTGTGTGTATGAGTATGTGTGTGTGTGTGAGTGTGTGTGTATGAGTGTGTGTGTGTGTGTGAGTGTGTGTGTGTGAGTGTGTGTGTATGAGTATGTGTGTGTGTGTATGTGTGTGTATGAGTATGTGTGTGTGTATGTGTGTGTGTGAGTGTGTGTGTATGAGTATGTGTGTGTGTGTATGTGTGTGTATGAGTATGTGTGTGTGTATGTGTGAGTGTGTGTGTGTATGAGTATGTGTGTGTGTATGTGTGTGTATGAGTATGTGTGTGTGTGTGAGTGTGTGTGTGTGAGTGTGTGTGTATGAGTATGTGTGTGTGTGTGTGTATGTGTGTGTATGAGTATGTGTGTGTGTGTATGTGTGTATGAGTATGTGTGTGTGTATGTGTGAGTGTGTGTGTATGTGTGTGTGTATGAGTATGTGTGTGTGTGTATGTGTGTGTGTATGAGTATGTGTGTGTATGTGTGAGTGTGTGTGTGTGAGTGTGTGTGTGTGAGTGTGTGTGTATGAGTATGTGTGTGTGTGTGTGTGAGTGTGTGTGTGTGTGAGTATATGTGTGTAAGTGTGTGTGTGTGTGGGGGGGGGTGGATGGGTGGGAGGCACCGGGCAAAGGGCTGCGTTGAGTCCGCTCCTTTTCTCTCATCTCTCCACCCTGAAGTTCGATTCTCCTCCCCTCTCTGACAGGGACCTGGAGGGTTTTGCAAAGTGTCAGGGACATCTGGGGAGACGAATGCATCAAGCTTTCTCCATAGGCTCCTCCTCTGTTGCCGCCCAGTAAATGCTGGAGCACCCCTGGGCTCAGTCCTGAGACTCCTCTTCGAGTTTCCGTTGTGTTCAATCCCAAGGATTTGCACGCCTACAGCGCCACTGGTTACATCTCCAGCACTGATCCCCCCTCTCCCCACAGCTTTCCTCTCCATTTGAGTGTCTAACGCAGTGGTTCTCAACCTTCCTAATGCCGCGACCCTTTAATACAGTTCCTCATGTTGTGGTGACCCCCAACCATAAAATTATTTTCGTTGCTACTTCATAACTGTAATGTTGCTACTGTTATGAATCGTAATGTATCTGATATGCAGGATATATTTTCATTGTTACAAATTGAACATAATTAAAACATAGTGATCAATCACAAAAACAATATGTAATTAAAGATGTGTTTTCCGATGGTCATAGGCGACCCCTGTGAAAGGGTCGTTCGACCCCCAAAGGGGTCAAGACCCACAGGTTGAGAACCGCTGGTCTAACGGGTGTCTTCAAATTTGTTGAATTTCTTAACTCGCCCAGCTCATTCCTGCCGCAGGGCACTTTGCATTTGCCATCCCCTTGGCAGGAACTCTTTTCCCAGCACTTAGATGGCCCGGTGTTCCATTGGAGCTGAGCCCCCTGTCGGAGGAGGCGAGCATTGCAGAGGGGAGGAAGCCTGCTGGATGTGTGTGGTCACAGTGCTGTGCTGGAGCCCTGCTTCAGCATGGGAAGCAACCTAGGGGCAGGGGGACACTATCAACAGGGAGGGGAGGGGAGGCCAGAGGAGGCCAAACGAGAAAGGGGGGAGGAAGGGAGGAAGGCCCCCACTTCGCTGTCAGGCAGGAGTCTGGGATCTCAGGAGGAAGGTGGCAAAGCTTAGGGCCCTGTCCCTATCCCGGGAACTAGATGGGCCTCGTGGACAGAGGGTAGAACTGACCCCACCTCCACTTTGTCATTGCTGTCATCTAAAACCCAGGTTAAGGCCCTGGTTGGTTTGGCTCAGTGGATGGAGCGTCGGCCTGCAGACTGAAGGGTCCCGGGTTCCATTCCCGTCAAGGGCACATGCCTGGGTTGTGGGCTCCATCCCCAGTAGGGGGCGTGCAGGAGGCAGCCAATCAATGATTCTCTCTCATCATTGATGTTTCTATCTCTCTCTCCCTCTCCCTTCCTCTCTGAAATCAATAAAAATATATTTTAAAAAAATAAAATAAAAATAAAACCCAGGTTAAGCACTCAGTTGGCCAGCACGGAACCTTTGGGTTTCACACACAGTAACCCTGTCGCTGGCGGTACCATCAGACACAAAGATGGCAACATCAAACCGCACAGTCTCAGGTCACACGGCAACCAGTACTGCAAGGGGAGGGAGGAGCAGAGGGCACAGCGTCTGGGGCCTTGCCCCTCTCTGAGCCAATTAGTTATCAGAGAAATACAATGTGCTGATTGGCTCATACTTGAGTCCCACTCACTAGGGTAAATACTAGGAAGAGCCCAAGAGATTGACCCAAGTGGGTCACTAAACTCAGAGAGAGCGGGTGCCCAGCAAGGAATCTGCAGGGACCCATTTTGACTCATGTTTATATATATAATATTTTTTGCTCTTTTTTTTTTCAGAGAGGAAGGGAGAGGAGAGAGTGATAGAAACATAAATCATGAGAGAGAATCAGTGATCGGCTGCCTCTTGCATGCTCCTCACTGGGGATTGAGCTGCAACCAGGGCACGTGCCCTGACTGGGAATCTAACTGTGACCTCCTGGTTTATAGGTCAATGCTCAACCATTGAGCCACACCGGCTGGGCCAAATGCTTTTTTCCCCCTTTGCCTTGCCCCTCTCCCCTCATCTGAAACCAAGCCCCCTCCTTATTTGCATGATTATTATTATCATGATTAGTTTTAATAATAACAGCTAACATTTATGCCGGACTTACTGTGTCAAGCACTTCACATTTACTGCTTGTTGTAATCTTTACGATTACTTGATTGCCATCATTATCCCCATTTTACAGATGAGAAAACTGAAGCTCAAAGGTGACAGAACTGGCTCGAGATCACACATCTAGGAAATAGCTGAGCCAGGATTTGAGCCCTTTAAGGCTTTTCTCTAATGCAGGGGTCCTCAAACTTTTTAAACAGGGGGCCAGTTCACTGTCCCTCAGACTGTTGGAGGGCCGGACTATAGTTTAAAAAAAACTATGAACAAATTCCTATGCACACTGCACATATCTTATTTTGAAGTAAAAAAACAAAACGGGAACAAATACAATATTTGTATTTGCATATGGCCCGTGGGCCGGAGTTTGAGGACCCCTGTTCTAATGGATCTCTCTCCCCTCATCCCCCACCTAAAGTGTAAGCCTCATGAGGCTAGAGTCCAAGTACCCTGCCCCTTGCCTAGTCCAGTGCCTGGCACAGAGTAGGTAGGCCTTCAATAGGTAGTACCTGAGTGAGTGAATGCCTGGCACTGTACTAAGTGTCTTTCAAGCATGACTTCACTTAATCCTCACAACCACCTTGGGAGGTAAGTATTCACTCTGATTCCCATCACACAGACAAACAGGAGGCACCCCCAAAGTCATGGACTGAGTAAGCGAAAGAACTAAGCTCAAACCCCATCGTTCTCACCCCAGCCTGTTCTCTGAGCACAGTGCTCAACTGTGAATGAGGACATACTTCCATATCGTGACGGAAAGGAAAATATCACTCAGTAAACATGTGAATGAACAACCGAAATAAACCAGTGGTGACGAGGATGGGAGAGGGTAAGCATGGCCAAGGTGCTAAGGGAGGCGACCGTGGTTGGTTCTCTTCTCATATTTCCAGGAAGGAGTTGATGTGATGGGGGCAGGAGGGGACATTACAGGCTCCGGAAAGCTTCTGCTCTCCTGGGCAGTCGGTCATTCCAGGCCCAGGAGTTTCTGGAACCCACGACAGCCGGTTAGCAGGCTCTTGGGTTGATGAGCAGAGTGAGGAGGGCTCCCGGGGGTGCTCGGGCTCTGAGGAGTAACCATCCCCTTCTGCCTTCCTTCCCGACCGCGGGGCTGGGCCTCGCGCCCCTCAGCTCTGTGCCTCGTGCTGGGCTGCATGATCTTCCCCGACGGCTGGGACGCCGAGACGATCCGGGACATGTGCGGGGCCAAGACCGGCAAGTACTCCCTAGGGGACTGTTCGGTGCGCTGGGCGTACATCCTGGCCATCATCGGCATCCTCAACGCCCTCATCCTCTCCTTCCTCGCCTTCGTGCTGGGCAACCGGCAAACAGACTTGCTTCTGGAGGAGCTCAAGCCCGACAACAAAGGCGAGTGCACGCGTCGGTGGGCAGGGGCGGGCGGGGCGACGTCAAGGTTAACAGCGATGCGGAACTGGGCATGGGACAGGCAGTACGATCACCTTGAGAACAGTGTGGCTTTATGTCTCAGATCCGAACAGCTGCGCCCCTGGGGCCCAGCAAAACCCGCCAGCGGGGATAAACCCATGAGAAACGGGCAAGAATGCTCTTGGCAGCAGTTTCAAAATAGCAGACAACTAAAAGCAGCCTAAATGGCTATGGACAGGAGGCTGGATAGACAAATGGTGATATATTCACACCACGGAATAGTTCATAACTGAAAATGAATGAACCTCAGTTTATAGTAACAGAATGGGTACCCGCTGGAAACATATGGGGAGGGCGGGGGGGCGATGGGGCCGTGGAGAATAAAGTTCCAGAAGATGACGCAGTGAAATTTATAGTGAGCTCAAACACCAAGCACCACTAAGCAATATATAGTTTAAACACACATATATTTATGGTGATATGTGTGTGTGTGTTTTTTAAAAAACAACAACAACAACAAGGAAATGAGAAATATAAATGGTAGAACAGATGAGGGAAGCCAGGAGCAGATGTGGACAGGGAGGTGTATACACATTATTGGTAGAGTTACAGTTCTTGAACAGTGCTTTATACCTAGTATATTGCAATTAGAGGCCTGGTGCATGAAATTCATGCAGGGGGGTGTCCCTAGCCTGGCCTGCACCCTCTCGTAGTCTGGGACCCCTCAGGAGATGCCCGACTTCCGGAAGTCAGTCAGACATCCCTCTCACAGTCAGACATCCCTCTCGCAGTCCAGGATCCCTCTTGCAGTCCGAGACCCTTCTCCCCTTACCGCTCACCTGCTCGCTGTTCCTTACCACTGAGCTCGCTGCTCCTTAGCACTGCCAAAGAGGCAGGAGAGGCTCCTGTCACTGCCACTGCCACTGCACTCGTCAGCTGTGAGCCCAGCTTCTGGCTGAGCAGTGCTCCCCCTGTGGGAGTGCACTGACCACCATGGGGCAGCTCCTTCGCTGAGCATCTGCCTCCTGGTGGTCAGTAAGCATCATAGCGACCGGTCATTCCGCCAGTCATGCCACCGTTTGGTCGATTTGCAGATCAGGGTTTTATTATATAGGATATGTATATCAGGTAACACTAAAATACAACAAAGAAACAACTTACACCTAAGGCCAGAACCTTAGGGGTTGTCACTGTTGTCAATGCTTATCTGTGTGTCTTCAAACCTGATCTGTCCCTTTACAAAACGGAGAGTAGTGTTAAGTGCTAATATGACATAGCACAGGTATCATCCTAAACAAACCCCCGCCTCAGCTCAATTTTTGTGCTCCACTCTGGAGCATGTTGTAAAGATCTGTCTCTCATTTCATGGGGAATCATCTTGCCCTGTTTATCCAGTGCTTATCATCATATGAAATAAAGGAACTGTACTTTCTTACCATTCTCCTTTTAGGGGCTCTTAGGGAGACTTCCAGGTTTTTACTATTCCTGGCAATGCTACAATGAACATTTTTGTCTGTGTCTTCTTATACACAAGTGTCTTCTTGGTGTCTTTCCAGAAGTTAAATTGCACACTTACCATTGAAATGACAGTGCCAGATTGTTCTCCACTGGAGGGCCGGTCTTCTGACCCAAGGGCCCGCCCTGCCCCCAGAGCAAGGGGAGACACTGCAGGGCTTCGAGGGACAGACCCCCGTCTGTCTGGGTGTGCGTTCTCTGCTGTGAGAAATAGTAGTCATTTTCATAGTCACACCCTTCCGTGAGCTATTAGCCTGAGCTGGGCCTATGTTTAGCACTTTCCATTAATTATATTCATCTCTTGGAATTTCTCATCTATAGAATAGGGCTAATGGTGGTGAAGACTATCTCATTTGGCGGGAGGTAGTTTGGCCTTGTGGTGGAACCCTTAGGCTGTGGAAGCAGATCATCTATATTGGAAGCAGGCTGAGCTAAGAAGTGACTTCACCTCTGTGAGCCTCAGTTTTCTGCATTCACAAAACGAGTGTGGTGGAAAGTACCACTGTATAGTTTAAACATACATATACTTATGGTAATACGGGTTGTCCTGTGAGGAAGAAAGAAAGATTGTGCCTGCAACGGAGCACGTGGTGAACGCTCTGTAAAAGCTGCCACTCCGCCCCACTCCCCGTCAGGCGGGCATCATGACCACCGTTTTACAAATGAGAGGTCCAGTCACTTGCTCAAAGCCACCTAAGTGGTGGAGCCAGAATTTGAATCCAGATCCAAGTCCAAAGACCAAGCTCTGCCCCACTGCCTGCCCCCTTTTCAGCCCTCCCTGGGCTGCTAGTTGCTAACCTAAGCTCTGAGCCTCCTGCCCCTGGATACCCTGATATCTTGTGGTTTCTGTGTCCTTGGTATGAAGTCAGGGCCTGCCCTCTGGTGGCAGCTTCTAGAAGTGCGTGGCTAAGACAGCCATCTGCCCTTTCTGGTGTGAGGTGGGCCAACTCCGAGTCCTCTCCTCCATCCCCAGGTACCTTAATAGCTCAGTGTTAAAAGTTACATCAGCGTCCAGAGATCTCCATCCCCATGAAGAGCTCAAGATGACTGAGCCTCACAGTCCAGTTCTAAGCCAAAGACTTTCAGGACAGAAGTAAAAAATAAAATAAATTGCTATAATTTCTAGCATTTAGTATGTGCCAAACACTGCGCAGTCCTTGGCTGGGGCTCTTTATGTCTTTCTGACCCTCAGAAGCACCTTGTGAAGGAGGCTGTTCTGCCGTCTTGCAGATGAGGAAGTTGGGACTCATTGAGGTCCACTGGCCTGCTCAGGGCCATCCAGCTAGTCCGAGGCCCCGGTGGGATTTCAGAGCCTGGGCCCCCACCTCACCACTCTGCCCAGTTTTGCCCTGAGGATGGGCCAAGGGGATCCCCAATGCCCTGGTGGTCTCTGACTTTCTCCAATTCTCTCTCTCTCTCTCTCAGATTTTGTGAGCTCTACAGTAAGCTCCGTGTTGCGACCAGGGGGTGATGTCTCCAGCTGGGGAGTCCTCCCCTGCCCCGTTGCTCACTCACAGGGACCCTGAAGGCCAGGATCACAGCCCAGGAATTGACCTGTCCTCAGTGTGTCCCATCTCTTGCCCTCTCATCCTCCATTCAAGCTCTGAGGGAAGACCCCAATCTCAGACTGACTTCTCATCTGTTACCCGCCTGCCAGCTCCAGACTTTGAAGAGAGGTGGAGGCTGGGCGCAGCCTGGGGGGGCCTGATTCTGCCCCTCCCTCAACTGACCTAAGGGAGCCGGACATCCCTTGGGGTCTCCTCTCCTCTCCTACCTGGCTGGGGGCCGGTAGTCTCCCGGGGAAGGAGGCCCTGGGATTCCAGTGCCCCAGGCTCCCTCGGTCTGGGAGCTACTGCCTGGTCGCATCTTTGCCTCCTCTGGTCCCTGCCTCTTGCAGAAACTTATTCAAGACACTGCCCCAGGGCAACCGAGCTCCTTCCTTTTTTTGGCGGATGATGGTTCCATCACATCTTTGCAGAGCTCCAGGCACCACCAGCCTGCTCCCAGCTCTCCTGAAGGAGTCTGAGCTGCACCGAGGGAGAACACAAGGGCCTCCCTGTCTACTGGCGCCCTGTCTACTGGCGCTCTGTCCAGCCCTGAGTCTGAGAAAGGACACACAGCCCCAGAGGGAACTGGAGATACCCGGACTCCAGGCAGCAGGGGCCAGGGGTGGCTCTGCCTGGGGCTGGCCTGGCCTCTCTGCTGGGACGTCGTGCTGCTGACTGGACCCTCGACCCCAGCTTGTTTTGTACAGCACAGACCCTTTGGCCCTGTTGTTAGGGTTGGAGGTTGGGGAGGGGCCTAACCATGGGGCATCAGGGGAGGTACCGCCCCTCTGCCCCTTCTTGTGCTGCCTGACCCTGGCATTTGCTAAGGGCAGACACTGTCTTGCCTCTTTGATACTTTTCTGCATAACTTGAACTTGCAGGTCACCTCTGAACAGGGTACCCCCTGTCCCCATCCCCGGGCCTTGTAACCCTGTCCCCACCTCGTCTCCTCTCTGCCCACCTCTCGCCTTGCGATATGCCCAGGGTCTGCCACCCGATGGGCAGTGCTTGGAGCCGAGGCGTGTGTGTGTGTGTGTGTGTGTGTGTGTGTGTGTGTGTGTGTAAGTATGTGGGGGGGGCAGACGAGGAGTCCTCTCTCCCCCTCTCCTCCCACCATGGGGGGCATCTCCCTCCTGCTTGGCGAGAAGCAACTGAGGGAGATTTCAGGTGTTTCTGGACTTCCCTCACGGCCGCATGGACCTGGCGGGAGAGTCACCTGGCTGGGGGCGAAGTAGCCCCTTTCAGGCCCGCGTCCAGGCGGCATGTGGGCTCCTTCCAGTGTGCCTGCTTCTGGCTGCAGGGCCCACTGGAGAGGAGCCTGCGACCCACCATTCTGTTATGTTGGCTCAGCCAAAGGAGGGGAGAAAAGCAGTTAGTGCCATGTATTTGCCAACCTGTGTTCATTTCCACTGGAGTTGGACCTGAGAGGGAGGGTTTCCAAGACAGACTCTAGGAATCCTCTGTCCCAATCCCCCATCTGGACCCAACCGGGATCGGATGCTGGATCCTGGTAGGATTCCTGATACCTGGAGCTCCCCAAGTCCTGACCCTCCCCCTGGGCAAACACCTTCCCCCAGTGCTCTGCCCAGCACTGTGCCCCCTCTCTCCTGCTCCTACCAAGCCCTGCACTGCAGCCCCCACTGGCACCTTCCTCAGCAGGCTGCTTGCAGGTGGGGCTGGGCAACAGGGTCCCAGGTGGAAGGGACGGGGGAGGGAAGCCTTGTGGGAGGGAGGGAGTGGGGGGCAGATCCAAACCAAAGCCCAGTGTTGGAAGGCTGCAGAGAGAGGGCCCCAAGCAAGTGGTTAGGAATGGGGAGAAGACAAGAGTAGGAGAAAGAATGAGACAGGAGGGAGAAGGAGAGGCAGAGACAGAGCAAGGGAGAGAGGGGTGCAGAGAGGTCCAGAAATGGAGAGAGAGGAGTGAACAGAAGGGGGACCCAGAGGGACAGAGAACCTGGGAGAGGGAGGGTAGGGGACTGGAAAGAGGATTAGAGATAGGGAAGGAGGTGTTGGCAAGACAGTGGTGGGAGACCAGACTGTGATGCAGGGAGCAATGGAAGGGAAAGGAGAGAAGGAGGATGAAGGCCACAGGATGCTGAGGAAGAGGGAGCAGCTGCTTCTGTGTGTGCACTGTGCCCAGGGACCACCAACCTGTGTGCCTTGTGGAGAAGTTAGAACCCACCCGCTCAGAGACCAAGGACGGGCCCAGGCGGCCAGCCCTCACATCAGGGGGACAGTCCAGCTGATTTCTGAGCAGGTTAGCGCCACTGGAGCGGGTGAGTGGTAGAGAAGAGGGAGGTTTGTTCCCTTTGGGACCGTCTGACAGTGTTTCCATGTCACCATCTGCTCAGCCAGCTGCTGCCCTGGCCGAGGAATTTGGGGTTAGGAAAGCAGTGTTGGGTGGGTTGAAGGAACACCAAAGTAACACGGGGAAGGGAAAGAGGTCAGAGTGGGGACCAAACCACAGCTCTGTCCCCGAAGCTTCAGCAGAGGTGGGAGCAGAACGGGTAACAGGTGCTTTAGCCAGGGCCCCAGGGAAGCCATTATGGCCAGGGGACGCCTGTGGAATGGCCTCCCTGGGGTTTAGCCTTTGGGAGGAGGTGGAAGCAGAGCTGTCTCTCACACTCTTGGTCCCTGAAAGCTGAGCTTTGAGCAGGTCTCTGAGGTGACTGGGTCAGAGGGTCTGGCACTCCCCAGCTTTCTCTGCCCTGAGCTGGGGACTCCTTTTCAGGACAGGCCAACGTGGCCACAACCTGGACGTGGTTCAGAGCGCTGGTTGATGAAATCCTTCTGGGTCCCTGAGATGTGAAAACTCCTCTTTGGGGACCAGTACCCATGGAGGAAAACATTGATTTCCCGAGGGCGTGAGGAGCATGGGTAGAATCGAGATCCTTGTCACGCCTGGAGCAGCCAAGACATTGGGAACTTATAGACAAGGCTGTGGGGAAATTCCGTGGACTTCGTTTGAGATTCCTGCCTAGACCCAGGGGAGTGCCCCTTCTCCAGCTTCCAGTGTGGACTGAGAAAGGGAGACCCTCTCTTGGGAGAAGCTGGGATGTTCCCAGTACAAGAAACTTCCACAGGCCCCTGCCAGGCTCAGGGCTAGCCTTTGGGTGGGATTGCCGTTTCCTGAGAAAGGAACAAGGGAGCCACAGTCCTTCCCGGAGCTCTGACCAGCAGACCTCAGAGGGCCTGTGCTGTGTGATGTTAGGATAGCTTGGTGTTGTCTACACCCCATTAGTAAGTTTTGTCTGAATGTGTCCTCACTGTTCATTGTCCCACTTGGTAACACTTATTTCGGTCCAGACCCCTTCTGCTGCTGCTGGATTTGAGCTTCAGTACAGGTGGAATGATGTTCAAATAAAGAAACACTTTACATCACCCATGCTGGCTTCTCTTTCTCTGCACCGGCCCCCAGGGGATCAAGAGGGGTGGGATTCAGCCTCACTCTGCGTCGGGTTTGGCTGCATAGTAACAGAGCTCTACTATTGTGGCTTAGCAGGATAGTTTCTGTTCCCATCACAGGAAGTCGGAGGTAGCCAGACCATGACCAATGTGGCCCGCGGTGTGATCAGAAACCCAGGCTCCGTCTTCCTCAGAGCCACTTTCATGGCCCAACATGGCTGCTTGGCCTCCTTGATCCGCAGTTCCTTTGAAGACTTCTGGAAATCTCATAGGACTGAGTCACAGAGCACACTAGCTGAAATGTGGCCTATTAACTGGGCCCATTGCCACCCCAAATAAAATTGAGGTTCTGTTACCCAGAGAAAGGAGAGAACAGATGGAGTGGGCACTGGCAGTCTGCACATGCCTGGTTGCACAGACTTGACTTCGGACTTACAGCAAACAAGACTCCACCCTTTTCTGCCTGTGTGGACCGGGACAAGCCCTTTCACCTCTCTCTAAATCCCACTGAACAATGTGGGTGACAACAGTGATCTTGGGGAAGTTGTAAGGAACAATGAGGGAATGCATGTGGATTGCTTTGTAGTGTCTGCCACATTGTAACATGCCCCATATGGCAGCTACGTTACCATTTTTGCACTTGGGAACTGTGGGCACTCAGTATAGACTAAGCACTGAAGGAACAAAAACAGAGACCCTGACTTAATGGACAGCTGGTTGGGGAAGTGACAGGTAAAAATGTAAAATTTGCGAGGGGCAGGGAATTGTGGGTGCCCTGGGTGGGGACACCTTACTGGCTTTTGGAGGGGTGGGTAGAGCTAGGGAGAGGTTTACTGTAGGATAAATAGGGCTTAGGCAGGCATGGGTCAGGAAAGCCACTCAAGAAAGAAGGCAGGCCCTGCCCAGTCTTACATAGTGGTTAGAGCGTCAGCCCACGGACTGAAGGGGTTGCAGGTTCGATTCCTGGTCAAGGAGGTCAAGGGCACATACCTTGGCTGCAGGTTCGATTCCCAGCCATGATTGGAGCACATGGGGGAGGCAACCAATCGATGTGTCTCACATTGATGTTTCTCTCTCTCTCCAACGCTCCCCCTCCACCCTCCCTTCCACTCTCTCTAAAAATCAATAGAAAAATATATCCTCAGGCAAGGCTTAAAAATAAATAAAAACTATGATAACTATTTTTTTGTTTTTCTTTTCCCCCCCCGCCCATCCTTCTTTATCTTGATGATAGCTACTTTAAAAAAAAGAAAAAGAAAGAAAGCATATTGAGGAAAGAGATCAAGGTAAGAAACAGAATGGTCTGTGCAGAGCACTAAATGCTGGACTGTAAAGTTTGAGGCAGGGAGGGCCAGAGATTAGTCCAGTGGTTCTCAGCCTTCTGGACCTTTAAATATAGTTCCTCATGTTGTGACCCCCAACCATAAAATTATTTTCGTTGCTACTTCATAACTGTAATGTTGCTACTGGTATGAATCATAATGTAAATATCTGATATGCAGGATGTATTTTCATTGTTACAAATTGAACATAATTGAAGTATAGTGATTAATCACAAAAACAATATGTAATTATATATGTGTTTTCCGATGGTCT